GGATACAAAAATACGATGACTTTGAAATCTCCAGTAATTGTCATCCGGTAAAAATAAGTTGGATGGAGATAGGATGCATCTTATAGAGCTTTATCTTTAGGTCTGTATAGTAAAAAAAGACTTTTCATTACATATAATATGCTCTCGAAAAGTTGTAACTCATCTCTTAGTAGATTGTCTTCTTTCTAGTGAAAGCTCATTCATTGATCAATCAAAGATCATTTCTTCACTAGATTTGACATGTTGTTATCTATAATCCTTCAATAGTTGATAACAATGCTCCATCAATTATGACATTTTCATAATTCTGACGACTTAATTATTGATCAGCACTATGTAGAAAAATTATGATTTAATCTAATAAATATATGAATTTTAACTATAGTGGGGTTCAAACACATCAATCATTTGGCTAAGTGAGAGAGAAAATATAAATTACCTACATACCCTTACCTAGTGACATTATGGAGACATTTTCTTCTAATAAATAAGAGATATTTTAGATCTTAAAATTAGGTAGTGGTAGCCCACAAGCAATTTCTAGTGGTGGTGATACTCCTCACTTCATGAATTAACACTTTGCATCATTCTTGCAGAATTATTGAATCTATCATAAAGTATCTACCCTATGATGGGTAATTGAAGATAATGATGATACTTCAAAAGATTGTGAAGCCAAATGGTAAGGACAGACAAATAAGTTGAACAACATGCTATGAGATTATAAAACAGCCTATAAGACTCTAATTAGCATGTCATCATACCAACTTGTATTCAAAAATTTTCCCACCTGTTCATTGCAATTGAGCATAAGACATATTAAGCTATCAAACAACTTAACATAAACCACTCAAACTAGAAAACACCAATTGTTGTTGCTGAATGAGTTGGAGGAATTACACTCTAAAACTATATGAGAATTCATGTATTTATAAAGCCAAGACCAAAGCTTTCCATGACAAACATATGATTATAAGGTAATTGTACCCTAAGCAAAAAGTCTAACTTTATTACTTAAAAATAAGTTTATTTCCCAAAGAAGTTTTGTATCCCTCTATGGTTTAGGGGCCTTCACTTTGTTATAAATGTTTAGCACCAAAGGGGTGGCGCAAGTTCTAAGTTATATTGAGAATGATTTTGATGTATAGCTTACAAAGAAGTGCATGAGTGGGTGCAAGAAATTCTAAGAATCAAGAAAACTTGAGAAGATAGATATCTAATTGAAGTGCATGCGTAGGCCTAATCCACTAGCCATAACTCACCCCAAAGGAATACCTAAACCCTTAGTTCTATCAACTCTAGTACCAACTCAGCATATACCTAGAACACCAAATTGGCTCATCCATTCTTATTTTGCTCCTCAACGATTAACCCATGAATCCATAAATACATATGGAGGTCTCTATCACATAAATATGTGTAGAGTCTCAAGAAGTTGCATGCAACTAGATTTTGAGATATTCATATTATTTTCCTCAATAAAATCACATGCACATAAAAATATAGATGAAGTCATAGTGTATGGCATGTAAAATGATCTAAAACTGCATTAGTAGAATAGGTGTAAAAAAACTCATTAAGAAAAATGAGTTTATGATGCAAAATGACATTTAGTTCCACATCAAATAAGTAAAGCTTTATTTATTATGAATCTTCAAAATACATGTTTATTTTGTGAATTTTCCATATTTTTTATAGCATGTATATTTATTTATTTATATTCTTAAATTTAATAATAATGATAAAATAAAGGTCATTTGATGTCTAATTTATTCTTTAAAATTTTTAAAATAATTTACTATGCTCAATATATGTTTTCTAAATTTTGGAAATGAGTCTAGATTTATCATGTTGATTTTCCCTTTATGCTTAATTTATTATATTTATTTATTTAAGTGGTAACAGTTTTTATTTTATTATTAGATTTCAAGCCATACAAGGCCCATAAGCCAATTGAACAGCCCATGTTATTTAAGGAGGCCCATCAAGAAGGAGCCGTTTTGCCTCCTATCAGATTAAGGAAAACCACCCACTTAAGGTGGGTGGTTCATTCCCTTCTTAATTAGAGGGAGGAGTATGTACCATCACCTATATCAACGAATGACCCTACTTATCAAGATCAAGCCCCCAAGTTTTAATCACAATCATTCCATACTAAAAGATGAAATTAAATCAAAAGCACTGAAGACCCCAACATTATAGGAGGCACCTCCTACCTCTCTAAGATGGTTGAGATTAATCCAAGGGTTGTGCATCATCTTGAGGAATATCAAAGGTTGAGATTTACTATCTAAGAAGACATATAAATAGATCTTTTGAAGAGGTAGAGGGCATTTGTTGCTTAAAAGAAGAGTCACCTAAAGGAGAAGAATAAATCTAAGAACTTCACCAAAAGAGGCATATCTAAAAACTCTTGGGGATAGATTCCCTTGAACCACTCTAAGGGTCAAAAGATAAAGTATTGCATTCTAATTTTTTGATTAGTTTATGTATTCTTATATTTCATCTTAATCAAATCATGTTTCTTTTCTTATATCTCCTTTTCTAGTGATCATCTCAATAAGAGAGTTAATCTTCTTATGAGGTATATAGGATTTGGATTTAAAGATATCCTAGAGTGAGACAAAGATTGAGCCTTAGGGCTGATTCATCCTCATATATTTCCTCTCATTCTCTCAAGACTTGTGGATGTCTTGACTTATCAAGATTGATCACACTTAAGATTGAGTGAGAAAAGAATTAGATATAAAGTAGATTCCAATTTAATCCCTTTCTTCTTTTGATTTTCTATGCTCTAGATCTATCAAGATTAAACATGAAATCAAGGTAGAATGAGGAAAAAGGTGATTAGACTTAGAATAAAAGTAAATAAGGCTTATCTTCTTATTGATCTTGTGAGTGGCACACAACTGAACTAAGATGTTATGCCACCTTTGATGTAGTTATTTGGTCTTTCTCTTATCCTTAATCATTTTTTGATCACTTGAATTCTCAAAGTTGAACAAAAAATTAAGGTAGAGAAGATAGGGTTAAGATTAGAAGAGAGTAGAAATAGAGTAGTGATTTTAAGTTTACCATATTCAATCCACCATAAAACTTTTCTACTTTATTTTTCTTCCTTTGGTGATTGAAAGATTATCAAGAGAGGTTCTTTAATTTCTCTCTTAATTTGTCTAAGGCAACTATCTTCTTATCTCTTCACCTAATTCTTCCTTAAAGTCAACTAATAGAGTAAATCATTAGAATCATTCCAAGTTAAACAATTCTGTATGGATCTACTTGACTTTACTCTATACTTATTACTTATATCTTACTTGAAAATCACTATTATAAATTGAATTTTTTATCATCTTGATTAGTAACATTTAAGCAATTAATTAGTTAAAATAACTAAATTAATTTAGTAGTATCTCTCTTTCTAATATCTTATAAAGTCATGAAAAGACAATCATATTATTCTCCTCCCCCTCTCCTTCCTACTATTCTAATTTTTTCATGATTTTATAAAACCTATTACAAGTAGAAGTGATTACATCTTGGTGCCTAAGAAAAATTCTGAAGGGTTTTTCCAAGAACAGAAAATGTCAAATGAAGGCAGTATGATAAGAATTTAACTTAGTTTTTATGACAGAAAAACCTTGATCAGCAGCATTATTTACTTTATAAAATTGGAGTGATTGACAATTCTTGAAATAAGTCACAATAAAATGATTATCAGATTCAAGACCATAGATATTTATTGTTTTATATAGGCCTTCAACTTTCATGAAAGATATTTAAGAGTTACATTGGTCTTTTATACCTGCCAATAGCATTCCAAAGATATTGCATTGATTGGTTGAATATACAATCACACAAGATTACCTCACATAATGTTATTAGGCATCTTGAAGGTAAATTTGGTCTTCATAGTAAGAGGAGGTTGATTAGAAATCATGGCCTGGTCACTTGAAAAATGAGAACCATCATAAGATATGAAGGCTGAAATCTTCCAAATTGATATGTACTCTCATAATGACTCAAGAAAAGAGAGAAACTAATAAGATCTTTCACGAGTATATGGCAAAGTGCAATTCTAATAGTTAAGAGAGTGTACACTATTACGTTACTATCTACTACGAGTAAAGCCTCCCAAAATACTCACTAAATTATCTATATGACAGAATTGGTTTTCTTCCGTTGGAAGCTCTTTAGATCATAATATATAAAGTTCAGCTAAGTTTGAAGTCTCTAGTAATTTACATGTCCTCCAACTCCACATTTTTCGCTTTGCGTCTTGCTTGCATGGCTAAGATTTGCTGCCAAGATAATAGCGGCACACATACATGCAACAAGTTCCTTTTATACCAAGAACCTATAGTATGATAAGTGAACAAAATCAGCAAGCAGGTATAGTACGCTTGGAGAAGCTATAAAACTTGAGATTCGGTGACAACTCGGTCAGAGATTGTCATGAAAGAAACAATGATTTCCACAAGGTCATTCTGGAGGAAAGCTCGTTTAAACAGGAAGCATCAAAATTCTAGAGGTAGCCCACGAATCAATACACCAGATTCCAACGAAGTCTCTCTTTCTCTCTCTATTCCCGCACGTAGTCCAAGCAGAAAGAGTTACCGCAGCCCCACAGCAGAATGAAACGAAGGGCACCGACAAAAATGGCGACACTGAAAATCCAGAGAGAGAGAGAGCGAGAGCGAGAGAGAGAGAGAGAGAGAGAAGAGCGAGATCAGAGAGATTGCAGCCGCAGATGAAGAACTGATGATGGTAGTGGGCACATCCCATGCCCACGATAGTACCTCCGCACCCTTTCAGGCCCTGGAACATATTTAAAATGCCGGAATAAATACCAGGTACCCAGATTTCCAAATTTAGCAGAAACCGTAGTAATAGGGGGTGGAACCATGAAGAGGAATTGTGGGCATTCGAGGAAAACAGCATTTCCATGGCGGAACGCCAGCCAGAGACCAGAAAATATGAAGGGCGGTAGATAGAACTCACGTCTACTGACGGCATTCAACAAGAATGTACACTGGCTTCCCATTCAACTTACAGCGACCCTGAAAAAGAAAAGCGCCCATCATTACCAACAGGTGCAAGAGGTTAATATGCTTTGTCACCACTAATTTCCCATGAACATCAACGGATACCCTCAGCAAAAAACAAAAAAAAAAAAAAAAAAAAACAAAGAGGAGAGAAGGTTGATTCCTTGACAAAGACCCATAATAGGAATAAAGCAGTTGAGAAGACATTCACAATTATTGACATGAACCATTATACTATTCTGGGAAGGCATGGGCAGCTGCTGTTCTATCTGACCACTATGATCGGTTCTATGATTTTTAAGCGAAGTTTAAACTTCAGGAGAATAATTCATGCATTCCCAGAAAGGATTACAACCAATGCAACATCTGAACACGAACAGTAGAGCAGAAAATGTGGGAATCGGAGAGGTTCTGAAGGTGCTTCGACAGCTGCGATTAAAGCCCATACCTTGAATTTGGGCAGCCCAATTATGCAGGCACACTCGTCAACCTCAGCTCCAGCACGTTCTATGATGAAGGATCAAGAATAAAATCAAAACAGCAACATCAAGCATAAATATTAACACCTCTTGATGAGAAACTTACAATCAATAAAAGAAAATACGAGCCCATGGGACTTGCATATGAAACATGTAACAAAGAACCACTCATTATTATATGAAGCTTTCCAAGGTGATCTGCAGTGGTTGGAAAGCAGGATTAATGAACCTATAACTTAATGTACATGGCGTTTCTTGATGCACGCTTCTCTTTGTTTCTCTGAAGCCGCTGAACCCTGTGAGGTCAGACATGACATGAAAAGATGATGCCAGCTTATCAAATGTGGCTAAACAAGGAGCCGAGTGACATGAAACACCAGCCCTTCGCTCTGCTTGATAGTAAGAAACACGGAATGGTCAACAAGTCGTTGACTTCTTCTGTGATCCACAGCATGAGTGTGTATATGTATGCCCAGAATGAGGAAAAATATCCTTATATAGTAAATAATACGAAAGAACGATAAACAAGACAGGAGATCAATCGATGAACATGAAGAATCGATCGTGGGATTGAGTACCCAAAAGCCTGATTGCTGCGCAAAGTGTCCCCCCGGTGGCAACTAAATCGTCGATGATCAAGGCGTGCTCTCCAGGTTGAACAGCTCCGACGTGCATCTCCAGACAATCAGTACCGTACTCGAGCACATAGTTCTCTGAGATTACTTGGCCTGTGTTTTCAGATAAGTTACAGACCCCAAAAAAAAAAAGAAAGAACCCAAAGTCAACGACCTCAGTTCATCAGCATCATAAAAGCAACATACACAGATTAAGAAAAACAGGAAATTGAAGAACATTTTCTTTTGTCGTTCTTTCGCTTCGCTTGATAATCATTCTCCATCTACTGCTCCTCTATGTATACGGGAGGGGGGCCAGAGTTTCTCCATGGGCATGGCATGAAGTTGACATTAGCAGCTGGTCAAATGTTCCTACTCTCAGATAGTGAGAATCCAAAGCAGCTGCCTACTCTCCAGCTACAGCTGCTCGCTCCACTGAAGTCAACATTTTACAACGCTGAAAAGGAGCATGCCGTGAAGCTAACCCAGCTGGTCGCATTCTCTCTCAGACAGTAGTGAGAGACTACTGGCAGCTGCCTTCTCTCTGGCTACAGTTACCCGCTCCGCACAAGTCAACGTTCTAATTACGATTGCTGCACTTGATTGGACAAGTGCTGCAATGGGTCAACATGCGACAAGACGGCGCAGGAACTGACAGCCTCAGACGATGTCGACTTTTCAGAGTAGTGGCATTCATTCATCAATGACGCTCAGATAAATTTCCATTTTCGTGCGAAAAAAAATATTATTAGAAGGAAAAATGCGTTACCTGGGAGTTTCTTGGGTTTTCTCAGAGGGACGAACTTTGCGCCGAGAGCTAACGCGACTGGAGGCCCAAATATGAAACCTCTCGCCTCAATTCCTATCAGGAGATGAGACAGCAAGGAATGAAACAGGCTCAGAATTCCGCAGATGAGCTCAAGATAGCTGGAAAAGGATGAACGGAGAAAATGCAGGGCGTTCATATCGGACATGCAGATCAATGGCGGCACCAACCGAATTTTTTAAAAGGAAAAAAGAAATAAGCAACAGAGCTTGATTTTTCGTGAGCAAGGCGTTAAACGCAAAATTTCAGTGAAAATCCCTTCCCTACAGAGTGATAAGCGAGAGAGAGAGAGAGAGAGAGAGAGATAGGCATGGAGATTTGAGCATGGAAAGCAATGGATTCGACCGAAGATGGAGATCTTACCAGCAACAATGGAGATTCCCATGCCCCGATAGCGCTCGACCAGGATGTCCACAGTGTCCTTGAAGACCTTGGGCCGCAGCAGTAATGTCGTGATGTCGTTGAACATGATCCCTTTGCAGAGGACGGATTTCAGAGCAAGATGGAGGATGAGGACGAAGCCAGGGAAGGAAGAAGAGAGAGACAAAGAAAGAGAGAGAGAGAGAGAGAGAGAGAGAGGAGGGTGGGCCAAACCAGGTTTAGGGAAATGGGGGACGACTCGGATGGCGGCGGAGATTCCCTGCAGCCGCGGGTCCTCCACTCCGGCCACCGGCACTGCTCCGTCCGCCACCGGCGGGGCCGCCACCCCGTTCTCTCCGCCGCCGCCTCCGCCGCGTTCCACCATTTCCTCCGCCTGCTCCTCCCTCGAAGCCCTCTGGCAATGCGGCTGCTCTCGCCGGCGACTTGCTGCAGCACCAACAGAGGAAGGAGGCGTGGAAGAGAGAGGGAGGAGAGCAAGCGAGCACAAGGCAAGAGGGTGGTAAATGGCATTAAATTCACCAGTCAATACCGCAATTATCACGAGTAATTAGGAGAGAGAGAGAGAGAGAGAGAGCGGAGAGCAGAGAGAGGGCAACCAGTCACGCACGGACAGGCGGCAACAGAGAGTGTGACAAGGGCTTCGAGAGGAGCGAGAAAGACTCCCTCGTCCTATGCCATTTAAGTCCAACGCGAAGTAGAACTTCCCTGCAGAGCCCATGAACCAGAAGGGACGTAGGGTATGATGGACAAGACGACGTAGCGAGAGAGAGAGAGACAGGGACAAAATCGTGTTGACTTATTTTACCAGGACGGTCAGAGGAACCCGATTCACTGAGTCAAACTTGTGGTGTATATTCGTGAGAGAGAGAGAGAGAGGAAGAGAGGGAAAGAGTGTCTTGTCTTGTAAAACTAAAAGTTGGATAAATTCCCAGTAGGAGGTAGGAGAGAGAGAGAGAAACAGCATGCCATTAAATGGCATCGTCCTTTTCTGGTTCGAGCTGTTGGGAGAAAAAATCTAGTACATGCTCAGAGCGCATTATTAGTAAATAAAATCTACAGGGAACTAAATCATTTTCTTATCCGGATAACTGACGGGGGCACATCCCTAAAGCCAGGCTCTTTTAGGGGCCGATACGTAAAATCACTCTAGTTTCATCGAGAAAAAACTTCCAAGAAAATAATAACATATTAAATAAAAGAAATGCCGTAAGAATATTTCGGGAGGGGGGGGTGGGGGGAGCCGCTGTGGGGACCACTGCTGGATCTCTGCCATTCAGCAACATATCCTACCTACCTAGATCACGCCTCTTTACTCCCATCTCTCTCTCTCTATACCTTTCTCTCTCTACTCGCTCTCCCTTCGGATCCCGCCTATTGATATGAAGCTGTCTACCTTTACTTTTCAACTCAGGTGTCCTTCCTTATCCCCAGACTGGGGGCCTCGCCGACGCTTCTCTGGCCCGGGCCCGAAACGGCCCGAAAATCTTTTTCTCTCTCTGACCCCCCCCTCAAGCCCAATGCGAGTCCCATCAACGTTCGTTTTAGAGAGAGAGAGAGAGAGAGGGTGAGTCACCCTCTTTAAAGCCCCGGTACGGCACAATGCTGCCGTATTTGCATCTCATATGAAGAAGCACTGGGGGCGGCGGGTATGTGGTACTACGTTCTTCCCCGGTTCCATTATGGCGCATAAATAGGAAAGAAGAGAGAGAAAGAGGAGAGAGAGAGAAGAGAGAGAGGATCTGGTAGCAGGGCGGATCCCAGGATTTGCTCGAGGAGAAACACGTCGTGCGGCGGCAGAGGCAGCTACTGCTGCAGCTGCTGCAGCTGCTGCCGCAGAGGAGAGAGAAAATGGGGAGTGTTCGGATCCTTAACGGATCGAATTCGGTTCCGAAAACCTATGCCCTGATAAATAATAAATCCTTCGCGTGGAACCAGGTAGCCAACGCCCATCTGCCGCAATTACCGAGTCTGGCACGTGCCGGCGTTGCGGCGGCGAGCACTAACGATCCGAACAGCGCGCGTGGCGGTCGATTCTATCCACATCACGACGTAACGAGCACACTGAATTATGACGTCATATTAAAAATATCTCGAAGCGGAAATCATATGATAAATCGAGATGTTTGTCGTTTATGGAGTGGGGCCCGCAAGAGGGGCGCGCGCGTGCACCTGCCGAGAAAAGAAACAATAATGCAGAAGACGTCACCCCCTCTCTCTCTCTCTCTCTCTCTACTGTCTCGTTCCCTGCCTCTAACTAGAAAATGGTAGTATTTGCTGAATAAATAATCCTCGGGAACCGTCTTCGCGTTATCGACCTCGGACGGACCAACGGCGGGCCGAATCCGCCCGTATCACGCCGTATCTGCCCCGATGCAAGCAAGGCCTAAAAATAGACACGAAGAGATAGAGAAAAAGAGAAGAGAGAGAAAGAGGGAGTTGAATATAGAGATAGAGATAGAGATAGAGATGGACAGTTAGAGAGAGAGAGAAAGATAAGGGAGAGTTATAGATAGAGATAGAGAGAAAGAGAGAGAGATGAGCGGCAACAGCTGGCCGACTGTTGGAATGGGCCATGTCGGGTGGGATGGGGGGGGGCTATGGATCTTGCGGCGGTTGTTGTTTACGTCGAAGACAAGCAGCAATCCAACGGTCAGGAGGAGATCTCTCGATGAGAAAGAACAATGCTGCATAATGATCTCTATCCATGATAATTATGCACTGAGGCTGGAGAGGAGATTAAAAAGGGCATTTCAAACTCTACTTGGTATGCATCACTTGTATGATGAGGTGATTGCTTTATCTATCTCTCAAGGGGTAGTCATAAAAATTACTTCTTATAGTAAAAATTAATAATTCTATATTCTTTACGATGATGTATTAATAATCAATGCACGCTGCATTCTACTTGAGTGATTATGAGAATATGATTATTACTTGTCGTGATTGATGGAGTGACATAAATATATAGGTAAAGAGTTGATACGTTTTTTTTTATTAATAGATATATATTCTTAGTTTTTACATAAAGGATAACAATATCAATAGATATAGATAAAACCTTGACTTTCCAAAAGTAGTGTCACCTTTCTTAAAAGAGTTGGACAATGTTTCTTAAAATGTGGAGAGCCGAGGCTTTTCCAAGAACATCCAACTTCACACTCATCTTATATGAGGGAAAGCTTACCAAAGTAGGGCCACTTACGAAACGAACCCTCGAGAGGTGAAAGGTCAACTTTCTTAGTTGTTGAGAATTGGCAAGGTTATGAGCACAGGTACTTCATTAGCTTTACGTAAACCAAAGCATGATGAAATGTTGGAAATGAAGACACATTATTTGGTCTAGTGAGGTATGAAAGAACGAAGGGGGAGTTGGTGGGGATGAATTGGTCCTTTCTTTCTAGTGGTTAGGATGATAATGAACCTAGTGCAGTAGATGATGGAAATTATGGCTTGATGTGTGTTTACTACAGAAAGACATTGGTAATGTGGAAATATATTCTGTGGTAAGTTTCAAAGTGAGATTTCAACATGGCACCTTGTATTTATTTCCTTTATAAGGAAAATAACTAGAAACCGGCATTCTGTCCGCATTGACAAAGCAATAATAAAGCATGCTCTTGACACTACCAATTGTACATCCGCTGCCATAAATTGTGTTCAAAGAAAAATGGCTTACATTATTACTCTATAGGTGGTTTTTCAAGGCACATCCTATCTACTTCCATTGAACGGATTTTTCTTTCAGCAATTTTTTTGGTTGTGAAGGTTTGACTTGTTAGGTCATGAACAAACCTATTGCTAGCTGCCATTTATGTCAAATTGTTGTTTTCCTGTTTTTTTTCCTAATGAAGAAAATAGATAGGAGGTTCCTAATGCGAGTATGCCTATTGCTCATTTTGTCATCCAAGAAAGATCATTGCTTCAATGAAATCACCTAGAGACTTGTAATAGCATGGATTTTTAATTATTTTTAAGCAAAATTCTTAGTTGTGGAGGTTTGGCAACTTGGCTCGTGAGCATGTCCATTGTTGGCTTCGTCATCTAGGTGATGTCGCTGCTTTCTTCTTCTTTTATTTATGAAGAAAATAGATAGATTATGTTTTGAAGAAACCATATGAAGAATTGGAATAGAAGAGATTTTTCTGAGTAAATATATGGTTGTGGATGCTTGGCAGGTTGGGTCATGAGCATGCCCATTGCTGGTCACATCATCCAAGACAAGTTGCTGCTATCGCATTCTTTTCCTTATGAAGAAAGTATATAGGAGGAGCCTTGATGAAATCACTTCAAGATTTAAAATATGATCAGTACACTTTATGTGATCACAAGATTTGATCACAAGTTCTACTGAAAAAGATAAAAGAAACAAGTCACCAATGGTGTTTTTGGAGGTTGTTGAGGAAATGAATTGAATTTTCATCCATTTTTAATTATTAGATATCTATCCAACACTTAATCCTTAGGAATTTGATATATCAAGGATTGTGATTCAATCCTCATTAGTTATTTTGATTCTAATTTTGAGGTAAGTTGAATTGATAGGGAAAGAACTTATGGATTATGCCTATTCTTAAGATGATGCCTAATATTATAGTTCTCCAAGGAATAAAAGTTGGCAGTTGTACCTAGATTTGAAGCGAATTTTTTTTTAACAAGTGGTCATTGTACTCATGTACTATAAATGAAATCCCAACTTAAGGACCTAGTTAAATTGACCACATTCACATTCCATGCAAAAACACAAGTGTGTTAGTCTTGCCAAAACCTCTATCTTTTATTCAAGAACTGATTACATAGAAATCAAATTTTATATTGTTAGAGATAACATTAATCTAGGAAATAGTGTGATTAGCTTTGTTGAATTCTTTAAACCATTGACTGAAATCTTCACTAAACTCCTCTCCAAAAATAAATTCTCAACTATTAGAAGGGAACTTCTCTAAAGGATACATATTACTTATTTTTTATCATTCACATTTATAACTAATTTAAGATTTTGATGCAGAAAAAGTATAAAAATATAGAAAGAGTGTGATTACCCTTGAACAATCTTCCTTGCTACTCTACATCTCTAATCTTGTTCCCAAAAAATTTCAGAGCTTCTAAACTAATTTCAGTGGAATTACAAACTTACTTCAACAAGGAGAATGCAACAAGTTAATGAGAGCTTTTTTTTATCAGAAAGCAATTCTCTTCAATTGGATTTCAGCACCAACATCTTCAACCTTTAAATAGATTCAAAGATGTGAAAGGGAAGTAGAAATTCAAGAAAAAATCAATCTCCTATTCATCAAATTTAACCTATGATTAAACTCCTCACCAATGCCCAAAAATGTCATTGGAGAAATTGTTTTCTTATTTCTC